AGGATGCTAGCTGTCAGGCAGCACATATACACTTATCCAATCAGCCAATACTATGCCCACAATACAACACATGGCAAAATCTTTACCTTGGGTAGTGAAATCTAACACCTGCTGCTAGTCCATTGTCGTGCTGATCTCCCGCTATCCCGGAGCAAGGTGAGCTCTGACACAAAGCAAATATTGAAGCTGAGAAGAGCAATTTTGAAGTGCCTGTTAACTCACCATCCTGTACTTCTAATCCCCTTACAGATAATCAGCTGTAATAAGCTGACACAATCTCCAACCCTCGACTCACCAGCTAGGCCTTCAGCAGAAAGACACATCCACTCTTTAAATCATGCTGATCTGAACATATTGCAAGAGTATATTAGGAGGGAGGGGGAGAGCAGATGATGGAGTAGAGATGAGGAGGATGGGGTCAGTTAAGCTCCTGTGGAAAAGATAGGAGAAGGGAGTGTATACGGTAGTGACATATTTCTTAATAAGTAAGTGGTTTAACCCTATTTGCTAATATTATTTAATTCAACATGTTTTACACATAATCACCTGTTATTTGTGAGGGATGGACACGTTTGGGGATAGTTGGGATGACGTGTTGCTTCAGGTTATATTCATTCAGAAAGTTTAAAGCTTTTCAGTTTCTTTGTACAAGTGGTTGTATTCCTCTAATATCCAATCTTTTTCTGTGAAACTCCACAACAGCACGAAATTAGGAAATTCAAGGACTCCGTGCTGTGCAACTTGTAGACTTTCCTAACAGAAATTTGTGTCATGAACATAACTGTCACTATCAGTTTTCAATCATCCTATTTTGTTTTATTTTAACTGCAACCAAACAGAAGACAGCATTGACTGTAGCAAGCACAACTATCAGCATCCTCATGTACAGACATGTGTAGACATATGCTCCAAATCATAATCCCCAGAGTTTTTCCTTTAGTCAGCGATCTCTCTGACTAAAGGAGAAATTGCGCGAAGCACCTAAATAAACACATGAACTCAGATTCACATCACTGCATCTCAGTTTATTGATGTAGCATACATGATATGAAGATAGCCTGTTACATTAACTGCAGGTAAAAGATGCTGAAGAAATACATGCACAGTGAGAAAAATGTGTTTATTCAAGGCTGATTAAAAGGAAGCAAGCTGATCAAAGCCTTTACTACAGACTAACAAAACAAAGCATTTAATGATGTAAGCACACGCCATCAGTACCTTCAGTGAGAATCTGTAGAATGTAGAAAAGTCACTGGTTTATACAAGCACAATAACATGAACACAAATGATGTTTTTGGCTTAAGTCATTCTGAAAACTTGGTTAACTGTAAAAAGGAGAAAAATATTAACTCTTCCCAACCCAAAAATTACAGGTACCGTTAGGGTTCTTTGAATTAATAGATTTGAATAACCCACTAAGTAAGTAAGTAAAACTTTATTTTTATAGCACTTTTCACAGACAGATGTCACAAAGTGCTTCACGAGAGAGGTAACAAAAACACAATATAATCATAAATACATCATAAACGCCCCGCTCTAATTAAAGGTATGACACCACAATATCACTGTAAAAACTACACCTTCATTACTATGATTTTTAAGGTTCATTCATAAAAACTTTCTCCAAACAAACTATTGAAGAACTGAGATTTCTGCCACACTGTGAAATAAAAAAGGCTGGAGAGTCTAACATGAATAATTAAGAGGCTTTTAGAAATCTTTACTGTCTATGAATCCAGGTGTTAGCTATAGAAATGCACAGCAACTGACCAGTATAACCATAAATTATATCCACACTGGTGAATGCACCATCTGTTTTTCATATGTGTCTTGATCTATTATTATAGGTCATCGATCTGTCCATGTCATTCAGGCAGAGACCATGCTGTGGAGACACTCTATGTAGACCCACAGCATCTTCTCACACAGTATAACACACAAAAATAAAATAGAATAAAAATGAAATAGAATATAAAAACAGTAAAACGTGGCAAAAAAAAGTTTCACATCTGTTTTAATAGATTTTAACAGAATATCCTGAGACGTCAGAATGAAAGTAGACCAGTTACTTTCTGGCCGTTGTCCCCTTCTGGCCGCCTGTGCCTCAATTTTATTCTGCAACCTAGACATCCACATTACTCACACTCTCACATAACACATACATATAGGGCCTTGGGGGTGGGCATGTTTTACAGCATCCAGAGGATGGTCGGTGTATTCCAACCCACTTCTGGCACTGGTGCCCTACCCTCAATTTTAAATGCATATAGACACTAAGGGTTTTTGGGAGGAGCCGTGCTGCTCTCTGAGAGGAAGCAAGTACCATGCTCTCCTGTGTTTTAAATGCACTTTAGAACAGCACACAGCAACACTACATATGAGCGGGCGTAGGGAGGTTTGGGGTCTTCACTCACCCCGGTTCTGTTAGCCGTCAGGGCTGGGGGGCTGGGAGGAGGTGCTGGCCATCAGATTGGGGTCTGGGATGCGGGGCCTCCCTGCTACTGCAGATAAGGAGGTGGTCCACTTGCCTCCACCCCAGAGAGAAGGGTTACATCTCCTGGGTTTAGGTGCGGCTTGCCCCTCTGGGGGCGGGGGTACCTGGACCTGGGATATAGAGTATGTTTGGGGAGTGCGACTGTCTGTGCAGTGTCTATTTGTGTCTGTCTACACGTTGGGTGAGTGCCGAGTATTTGGTTGTGCATATGGGGGTGGGAATGCATGTTTGTGTCCGCGTGCGCCTGTTCGTCTGTGTCTATATGTCAGGTTGGGTCTTAGACTCAACCTCTCTGGGTACATCTCAGGCCCTCCAAAGTACGGAGGCCTATCTCCCCTCACCACACCCCCTGCCGGTGGCTGATGCCCTCAGACATTGGTGTGTTGGTGGTCCTTGTCGTCTTGGGCTGGTCGCTCATTTATGTACCGGCTCACTCCTGGAGGCCGATTGGCGGGGCCTGGCACCTGTGGCCCGCCTGGGCCCCTTCCGGGGGATGGGATGCCCTCAGGCCTCTGGCCTCTGGGCCTGAAGCTCGGTCCTCTCTGGCACAGCTGGTTGCCGACAGAGCCCGTGGGCACGCCACTGCAACCCCCTCTGGCCTCTGCTCCGTAGCTGCTGGGTGACCTCTCGTTTGGGGCTCTACTCAGCTCTTCCCAGGAGGGTGGCACGGTTTCCCCCCTTTTGGTGGTCCTCCTCGGGTCCTTGTACTCTGGGGCCTCTGTATATATGGGGCCTGGATCTCCTCCATACCTGCTTCATACCCTGGTGGACGGGGCTGTGGCTCCCCACACTCCCTAGCAGATCGTTACATGGAGAAACCTTTGGAATACATGCATGCTGATCCACACAGGTATGCACACAGGTGTACACACGGGTGTTCACAGACGCGGACTACACCTTTCTTGGCTGCTGCCTCAAAGCACATTGTGCGCTGTCTATCTTGTGTGCTGCACAATAGCGTTTAATATTTAGTATCTTCTGTTATCTACTGCTAGCTAATTTATTGTGATGGCGCTGTTTTTATTATGTTGCTCTTTTTTTGTTTGCTTTCTCTTCTGTTTTTTTTTTCTCCATACAGGTAATCCAGGTGTTTTGTTTGTTTTTCTTTCTTTCCCCCTTTCTCACCGTCTCTTCGCCCCTCTGGTTTTCTTTCTCTCCCTCTTTCTTTCATTCTTTCTCCCTGTTCTATCCCCCAGTCATGTCTGTCCCGTTTGTAGCAACCAAAAATAAAATAAATTCATAATTATAATAAAGGTCAATCAAATGGACCAATATGGCGAGGCCATGATGATCCACTTGGTAAAATAAATCCGCTTGGCATCTTTCTTGGCCTTAAGACAACAATTCTGATGGCTAAAGATCCAAATGGGACACACACAAAAAAAAAAAGAAAGTAGACCAGTTAGGATTAGCATCATAGCCATCAAAGCCATCATAAAAAAAATATTTGTAAAAGCAGGGAGTCATTACATTTGTATGTTATAATGTACAGTACATTTCCTATGATAAACATGTGTATGGCGTTATTTTTATGCCACTATTCTGAGCGCACGTAAAAAACATTTGCAGGTGCAAGTGTTGCATTTTGAGGAGAAATTTATTTTGAACGAAGAAAAGCTAAATTTAAGTGAACAAAATTCATTGCTGCTTGCAAAAAATGTATTTCAGTGTTTGCTATTATCCATACACACACACACACAAAATAGCAGCCTCTCTCTCTCAGTTTTTGTATTTGCGCTTGCTCTCAAAACATTAGAGCACTTATGCAAATATGTGATGTCTTGATAAATCGAGCAGATATTTGAAGTTTACACAGCACCATTCTCGCATGAAAATATCTTAAAAGTTTATTTTGTGACCCAGAAAGAGTAATATTTCAAACTCCGCCACTCTGTGTTCCTCCGCCACTGCTTCGTTTGAGTTTTGGACGAAATGGATTCTGGAATATTGCATTTCGTCATTTTGAGCTGATTGGAGACCAAAACAGCCAATCAGATTTTTTTGCATCCACATCTGTGATTGGCTGGTTTTGTGGCACAAATATAACGGTGTACAGAAAGAGTTGAACGCGCACAGGCAGAAATGTTGAGAGTGCAAGCAACACATTGTAAGCAAGCGCAATTGCAAAAACTGAGCGAGAGGCGCTGCTATTGTGTGTGTGTATGGATAATAGCAAACACTGAAATACATTTTTTGCACACAGCAATGAATTTTGTTCACTCAAATTTAGCTTTTCTTTGCTCAAAATAAATTTCTCCTCAAAATGCAACACTTGCACCTGCAAATTTTTTTCACGTGCGCTCAGAATAGTGGCACAAAAATAACACCATACATGTCTGTCAACTGCTGGCAAGTTTGTATTCACAGCCCCTTCCAATACTGTCATACATGTCATGCATTTATGACCATGGGGTAAAAAAAAAAAAAAAAAAAAAAAAAAAGGATTACATTATTTTCAGCTCTTTGGTAGGACATTCATTCATTCACCACCAAACGTCTGGTGACCACCTCTCTGTTATGCAGAATCAGTAGGAGGGTAACTGCTACATGGTCCTTTGGTTTATAGTCTGTGGTGTGCAGAGTGAAAACCACCATCAGCAGTAGTTTGCAGTCAGGAGCAGACTCTCTCCTACAACTCACACAGAGATGCAGTGGACTCATATGACCAGAACCCAAACCCGAACCCAAAGGCAGGGTAGACTGGTTCGGTGAATGTGGTGTGGAAGGTGTGCAGGAGGGACAGTTTTTCCGAGCAGACTCGGTAGAAGGACACAGTACCAGCAGGACAGTCCACATACACTGCTATTCTTTTAGGTAGAGTAGCACCATAGGGAAGATAGACAACATGTTCTCTCTTGTTGTGCCAAAAAGAATATTTCTCTTGAGTGCAGATTAGACTCCAGCACTGGTCATTCCACCCGAGCCTGCAGTCCGCACTGTTCCCTTTCCTGCTGATTCTTTTGTACGTCACTGCTATGACAACTTGCCCTTCCCTCTCCACCTCCCAGTAACAACGACCAGTCAGACCATTTTTACACAGCACCTGCCAGCAGCAGTAGTCAAACCTCTCTGGATGATTTGGATAGGGCTGTTCCTCTTTCACCACAGTCACCTTCTTGTTGTCGTCAGACAGTTTGAGGTTTCTGTGCGCTGTATTTGGATCCAGTTCAAGCCCACAGAAATCTGAAAGAAACAACAGCACAAAGTATTATTCTATCATCCAACCACAGACTCACAAAACAAATATTTTTTGTTTTTTGGAGGTATGAGTGACCACATTTGAAGGTGGTTCGATACCCATCTGCTCCAGTCTGTGTGGCAAACAGTGTTGGGGAGTAACGGAATACATGTACCGCCGTTACGTATTTAGAATACAAAATATGAGTAACTGTATTCCGTTACAGTTACCGTTTAAAAAGGTGGTATTCAGAATACAGTTACTTTGTTGAAATAAATGGAATACACTGGGGTACTTTCCTGTTTCATTTTGTCGCGGGTCAGGACTGTTTGGGTTTTGTTTGACAGCTACGTTCTTTTGTTCCAGGCGGCAGCGTTACGGTTGCCATGGTTACAGGGCGACGCTCTCTCTCTCTGCGACTGTGTGTTTCCTGGGTGAGAGAGCGCCTTTTCGTTGTTGTTGTGCTAAGCTAACAGGCAGAATGCTACAAGCATAGCTCTAAAGAATGTACATCATGTTCAGTGTAGTCCGTGCTGCTGGGAGAATGGACTGCCATACACGTTATGTGTCTGTGAGCGCTAGGAGGGAGAAAAAGGGGAGTGGAAAGGTACGAGCAGTCATCGAGCAAAAACGGGAGCTGGAAGCATGTAAATATAATAATAACCACTGCAGCCAAGAAGAGTGCCTGACGAGCCCAGTTGTAAGTAAGCTATTAAGACTCGACTGTACACTGTGTTTGTGTTTTCCTCCGAAAACAACAAGTTCCGTTGGAGCAGCCTTTCAACGCCTCTCTCTGTCGCAAGAAAAGTTGACCCACACAACAAAGTAGAGCTATTTTTCGGCTACCAGCCGACAGGGACCCCGCCGTATTATGCTGGGCTTACACTGTGCGATTTTTTTCAGTCGCGCGATTCAGCTCCTGCTCAAACTGTACGATTGACTCGCAGGGGTTAGAAGTTCATAGGTCACGATGCAGGGTCTCACACTATACGGCCCGATGCTCTGATGCGACCTGAGTGCTCACACTGTGCGTCCATAAAAATGAAGGTTATAACAGAAATTCTGTCGCTCGCTCTCCCTCTCCGTCTTTCACTCACACAGACACACCACCACCATCAACTTTGCTAAATTGCTAATGAAAAACATTGGTCAGGCAGCTGTGATTGAGCAGCAGTGTCGATCCAACTATTTTCACGGTTGTTGTGGTCGTGATAATTTTGTGAGGCCACATCGAAAGGGCTCGGATGGTTCTACAGGTTGTGCCTCCATCGCTTGTGTCCAGATCACACGCTGCACTGCCTTGCTACGCCGTCTTTTTCGCTGACATTTGTGTTTGCGCGTGCGCAGTGTGGCAAACTGCGGTGACACCCTCACGACCAAGCGATTGATGATCGGGAGCTGGTCGTGAGGTGTCAATCGCTTCTCGTTACCCCACGTATACTACACGATGCACGACGCACGATGAAGGCCAAAATCGGGCCGATCGCCAAAACGATCGCACGACTCAAAAATCGGCTCAAAATGGGCCAAAAATCGCACAGTGTGAGCCCAGCATTAGTCAGAGGTCCCTTTACTACAGTTCGGAGTCGCGGACCTTCAGTAATAGTAATAAATCACACAGCAATAGTACATTCACGTTGTTGTAAAAAGCATGATAATATTGTAGCGGGTCAGGGCTGTTCGGGGTTCTGCTTGTACAGTTATGTTTTGTGTATGTTGCCATGGTGACGGGTGACGCCCTCTCGCTGCGACGGTGTGTCCTTCCGGGGTCAGAAGGCGCCCTATGGTCATGTCCAAATTCATGGGCTGCATCCTCCTGAGGACCCGGCCTTCGCGGTCTACGTGGGCCGGGTCCTCAGAAGATCGGGTAGGCCGGAAGTAAACGGCCGTGAAATTGGATGGTCTAGCCTTCTGATTAGCGTCACCGCTGTCTCGGTGGAGTTTAATAAACTCAGCCGTCTGCTCCTTGCTGTCTAAAATATAACAGGACACTGGAGTAAACTCTCGGCCATCTCACACTTCTGTTTAATCAGTTTTCTGTTTGACGTTTAGTCAGCTGTGTAAAAACCAAGGAGGAACCCACCCGGGGGATTAATAAAGTCTTATTTTATCTAATCTAATAACTTTAATCTCAGCCAAACCGATTTACTCACGAACAAACAAAACACTGAAAAAAGCCCAACAATAACATTTTTAGGTTGTCTAAGTGACTTATATATTACGTTTGTCACGGCCGGGCGGGTTACACACAGTAATTCGGCGTGCCCGTGTGGCGTGCTGGCTAGACCCAAGCGCGGCGAAGGCTAGCGGTGGGTTTGGAGCAGGCACGCAGTTATTCTAGTAACGATCAGTGCACGAAGCGTGGCTTCGGAACGGTCGTTACCGACAGAGAGCGAGCGGAGCCGGGAAGAGAAAAAGGATTGAAGGGATAATCACTCACGGTTGCTGAATCAGGCGGAGACTGACGTCGGCAGAGTTTCGGAGCTCCTGACACGAAGAGAATGATGTCTGAGTGGCGAACAGGTGGGTGGCGTCTCTCTTTTAACCCCGGCCCCGTGATCAGCTGATCACAGCTGATCACCGGCTGACAACGTTTAACCCGAGCAGCGAAAGTCCGCGGTGATCTGAAAATGATGTGCCGGGAGTTGTGCCATTCTCGGCCGCATCAGTAACCCTCGAGCTCCCGGCTAGCTATCGAGCTGGTGGGTAGCAGACGTCTCCGAAAACGTCGAAGCACTTTAGCAAAGATGCGATATCTTGATAAACCGAGCAGATATTTGATGTTTACACAGATACTTTCTCGCCTGAAAATATGTTAAAAGTTTATTTTGTGACCCAGAAAGATTAATAAGAGTAATTTTAAAACTTAGTAGCGGCCGCCATTAGCCGGAAACTGGAGCTTGGCTGGGCCGCGCTATGAATTCTGGGATATGGTGGGCCACGAAGGACACACCCGACCCATCCTTCAAATTCGGAAAAAGGACCACGCATTTGTCGGCTGCATTCGGAGGGGTCTACGAATTTGGACAGCCTTCGGCGCGTCGCTGTGACGTAATCGGTCTACAAATGCGGCCTCAGGAGAATGCAGCCCATGAATTTGGACACGACATATGTGTGTTGTGGTTGCCGCGCTGAGCAGTTAGCTAGTGGCAGTGTGTTCTTCTGCAAATGTAATAAACGGCTGTGCTCCCTGGCTAGCTCACGGAAAGCAAGACCAAACGATACCTCCGTCTCCTCCTTGTCTGAACTCGCCACAATATATTAAGTAATCCAAAGTATTCAGAATACGTTACTGTCATTGAGTAACGTAACAGAATAGGTTACAGAATACATTTTGGGGCATGTATTCTGTATTCTGTAATGGAATACATTTTAAAAGTAACCTTCCCAACACTGGTGGCAAATACCCTTGGGCAAGATACTAACCCCAAGTTGACCGATCAGAGTAAGAATATGTGTGAATGTTAGATAGGACTTACATAGAAAGAGCATAGAATATGTGGGAAAGATAGGGTAGAAAAGCACTGTTTAAGAACCAGTCCATTTACCATTTACACTGACACAGACATCTGCTATTTGGTGATATGTGAAATTACAATTCTAGAAATTCATTCATCAAAACTGGAGCTCATACTACTTGAACAGTGAGTTAGTAAAACTAACCACACAGCCGCCATATTATTTGTCAGATAATTGCATTAAAAATGCTGCAAAAGGCACAAACATAGCCAAAATATCCAGTTTACGGACTCCAATTAGCTGAAATGAATCCTAACAGACTATTGACCATGACTAAACAGTGAAGGAGGTCATGACCCTAATACTGCAAAGCTGGTTTTTGCAGATTAGTTCCTCTTTACATCATAGGAAAATTGAAATTTTAATATATGAATGTTTCTTACACTTCCTCAGACCAGGTTTCAGTCGCTGTTCTCCACAATGGTCCAACCTGAGGGAGGAAAAGTCGAAAAATAATTTATTTTCTCATTTATTTATTTCTACTGTTGAGTTTTTAATAATAATTTATTATTTAGGGCCCCATTTATGGAACGCCAGGACTGCCATAATGAATTAATTAAATACACCATTAAATAATTAATTAAATGTGGCAATATTTAATTAAAATTGGAATTAATTAATTAAATAAATAGTTATGACACATGTAATTAATTAATTATTGACACATTTAATTAATTATTTATGTATTTCACATTTTAATTAATTAATTATTGACACATGTAATTAATTAATTATTGACACATTTAATTAATTATTTATGTATTTCACATTTTAATTAATTATTGACACATTTAATTAATTATTGACACATTTAATTAATTATTTAATGATATATTTATTTATTTCATTTTGGCAGTCCTGGCGCCTGGCTCTCATCATGAAATAATTTTATCTGTCAGCCTCACCCATCAAACTTAGGGGGCGGGGTTAACGCTGATCGAGTCAAAACCATTGCTTTGGCCTGGTGGCCATTGTTTCTAGCACACAACAACCGGCATGTGGAAGCTAACAGAACTGAGTTTTGAAAAACCCTGTTTGTGTGTCACCAAATACCGTTTTAATATTTTTTTTAGCCGAGAATGTAGTGGTTTAATCTTCATGTGTCTGGTCGGTTTGTCAAGATACAGCCTCTTTGCAAAAGTGTTTCGATGATTTCGGAGATGTCTGCCCAGTCTCACGGCAAAGCGTGGGATAGACCCGTTCGCCTCGCAAGCAATCCCACCGACAAAGCGCAGGCCCCGGTACACAGCTGTAGTAACCCCCGCTGACTTCTTTTACTGAGGTTATATTTATCGGTGTTTTATTTCCTGATGTTCTTATGTAGGGCTGAACGATTATGGAAAATAATCTAATTGCGATTTTTTGCCCCAATATTGCGATTGCGATGCGATATGCGATTATTTTTTAAGGTCTTTGTCTTCTGTATTATTAAACAAAGACAAGCAATACATCATATAGTATGGCCAATACTATATTACATTAATTTTAAACTGTTCTTTCCTGGAAGACAGACCTCTGTTATGATGACATGAGGTGATGCATGAATTGATGACTAACATTTTTATTTAACTTCTTCAATCACAACAGTATATTTGAACATACACAATAGTTTATTTTTAGCTTACAAACATCTGAGCATAAAGTGCTGACAAGGAACTGGTGTAAACATTAAAATGAAACTCAGTACAATGTGCAGATTGCAGAAATATACATAAAAAAAATCAGTGGCTTTACCACACTCAGTTTTTCGACATCTGTGAACTACTAGACAGTCATTCAATTAAAAAATAATATTAAATAAATAAAACTAATAAATAAAAAATACACACATCTTACTGATCTCTGCAGTCAGTAACATTACACATAAAGTGCAAACATAATAGCAATTGTATAAACACACACAAACACGCCTTTAAAATTTAAAGGCGTGAAATTGGACGGTCTAGCCTTCTGATTAGCTAATCAGAAGGCTAGTTCTGATTAGCGTCACCGCTGTCTCGGTGGAGTTTAATAAACTTGGCCGTCTGCTTCTTGCTATCTAAAATATAACCAGACACTGGTGTAAATTCTCGACTGTCTCATACTTCTGTTTAATAAGTTTTCTGTTTAACGTTTAGTCAGCTGTGTGAAAACCAAGGAGGAACCCACCCGGGGGATTAATAAAGTTTTATTTTATCTAATCTAATCTAATAACTTTAATCTCAGCCAAACCGATTTACTCACGAACAAACAAAACACTGAAAAAAGCCCAACAATAACATTTTTAGGTTATCTAAGTGACTTATATATTACGTTTAACCCGAGCAGCGAAACTCCGCGGTGATCTGAAAATGATGTGCCGGGAGTTGTGCCGTTCTCGGCCGCATCAGTAACCCTCGAGCTCCCGGCTAGCTGTCGAGCTGGTGGGTAGCAGACGCCTCTGAAAACGTCGAAGCACTTTTGCAAATATGGGATATCTTGATAAACCGAGCAGATATTTGATGTTTACACAACTACTTTCTCACCTGAAAATATGTTAAAAGTTTATTTTGTGACCCAGAAAGATTAGTATGAGTAATTTTAAAACTTAGTAGCGGCCGCCATTGCTGGAAACTGGAGTTTGGCTGGGCCGCGCTATGAATTCTGGGATATGGTAGTAATTTGGACAGCCTTCGACGCGTCGCTGTGACGTAATCGGTCTACAAATGCGGCCTCAGGAGGATGCAGCCCATGAATTTGGACATGTCCAGAGTATAATCGCAGCCTTTGCGGTTAGAAAATTGCACTCATGTCGCGATATTATCGCAAATGCGATATATCGTTCAGCCCTATTCTTATGTGTCCTACATGTTTCAGTCGCCAATTCTGAATTATAACTAACATTAAAAACATGTTTAAGGAGGAGAGAGAGCAAATAAATCTGTTTAACATCTGATCTTTGGGTTTTTGTTCAGTAATCAGCGTGACCTGTGTATAAACGCATAAAAGAGATAACGTTGGTGTTTCCGTCATGTAGTAACTGCTGGCTTTAACTGTACAAAGGTTGTTCGACACTATGAAACACATACAGACTTCATGATGTTCGGCTAATATTTTTATTGTGAATATTAATCATGCTGACCTCGCTCTGTACACCACGCAGCGAGGTCAGCATATCCACGATATCCTCAGCTCCATGAGTTAACACAAAGTTTCCCAGCTGACTATCTAACTTCCAACTATTCCAGAGACGTGAAAATATACAGCATAAAGAAAAGTGTAAGAGACTCAGCAGCAGATTAGAATAACAGTTATACATTTAATAAATCACCAAATGAATCCAAGAAATGAGCAAACCTGTTCCGCCAATTTGAGTTTGTATTCCCTCAGCTGCAGACTCGCTGCTGTTTAAATGTTTGAAAAGGAAGATTAGATATAAAAAACGTCAAACATAGACTCAGTCTGCCTTCACATTTGATATGAGGCCAGCACGTATAGTGGCCTCAGCAGGCTATTACTGAAATACACGTGCTATATCATAAACTATGATATAAATAGGGAGGTCCTATTAACATGTTTAGTTTTAAAGGACACCTTCCTGCCTTTAGTCTCCTTCATGAGCAGTATTAGTTTTCTTCTAACATCCAGAAGTCTGCACGATGTGTTTCATAGTTTGTAACAAGCCTTTGACAGGTAAACATAACATGACCGAAAAAGCAAAAAAAAAAAAAAGAGAGAGAGAGAGAGAGAGTGTTGACATAAGAAGAGAAAATGCTCTCAATTATGGAGACAGGCAAATGGTTCATTTATGTTTGATGTGTGTTTATTCCTCCCTAAATATTGTCGGTGAAGTTTGCCATGCACGTCAGATTTTCCTGCGCATTTTTATACGTCTGCCAACAGAGAGAGAGAAAAAAATCACATTCTAACAGACAGCTGGTGCTTAGAATACAGTTGAATAACTATTAAAAAACATGATATTTAGATGATAGTTCAGTCTAACACATGTGCCAGTGAACCATTAAACGTCTGTGAAACTATGCAGTTATGAAACGTAACTTTAACCTCAGCCAAACCGATTTGCTCAGTTGTAAATAAAACAGCGAAGTAAACGTGACCCGACAGACAGAACCTGAGTGAATGAAGTCCAGCGTTTAACCACTGAGAGCTAAAACTCAGCTGAGGTTTCAAAGCTGTGTGCCGGTGATTGGACATCAGCCGCTGATGAAGCTGTTCGCCTATAAAGTGCTCTGTAAGGAAACAAGCTCCAGCAGCTCTGCGCTCGGGGAAAACACTATATTTACTTATCTTGTGCAGAAAAATGCGCTGACATTGCTTTATATCGAGTACCGGCTGCCCAGTTAAACTGTGACTATCACCAGGTAACGTAGGCGTGTTTCTTGAATTAGCAGCAGGTGTTAAACAGCTGACAGATGAGGAGGAGGAGGATGCATGCAGGTAAACTGAGGGTCTCTTGAGCTGATCGCTGGTTTCGTGAGAAAAATGTCAGCTCGTTCTTTATGTTACAGAAGCACAGAGACACAAGACCAGGCGGAAAGAGACGATCGTTCGGTGAAAATGAGAATCTGCGAATGCAACATGTGGAACACGGAGAGTGGAATGTAAACAAACCGGTTAACGTAACCCCCTCGGTGCACTCTGCATGCTAATTGTTAGCAGAGCTAGTGAAATCTCTGAAAACATCTGAGCACTTTTGCAAACATGTTCTATGTTGACAACCTGACCAGACATACGTCGCGACATTCGCGGCTAAAACACTGTTAAAAGTGTAGCTGGTGACAGAAAAACGGGGTATTTTAAAGCTACACCACCACCATTGCTGCCTGTGATTTGATCTGCATTCTGGGATACCTGGCTGCCCCAAGTCTACACAAGCAATCAATTATCTAGGATCGACCTGTTTTGACTTACTTTGCACGGCAACCAATCAAATGTTAGAGAAGCTGCATGAGCAGCGTTAACCCTGCCCCCTGAGTTTGATGGGTGAGGCTGACAGATAAAATTATTTCATGATGAGAGCCAGGCGCCAGGACTGCCAAAATGAAATAAATAAATATATCATTAAATAATTAATTAAATGTGTCAATAATTAATTAAATGTTTATTTTTATGGTTTTACATATGAGCATTGGAAAATGGCTCTGGAGCGCCACCTATGCGTTGTTAAATGCAGTCCTACGAACACACAGTTTAAGCTACATGAATCAAATTTGGCCCACATGTGTATCATGCTGACACAAACAAAAAAGTCAGTGGGCCCATTGATGCAAACCCAACAGGAAGTCCGCCATTTTGGATTGAAGGTGATATTTTGGCTCCCATTTTGCCATTTCCAGGGCTTGTACTTTTGCGAACTCCTCCTTGGGATTTGATTGTATAAGCTTCATATTTGGTCAGTATCAACTACACACCTGGGCCATGTGAAATTGCGGAGCTTTTGAGTTTTTGGGAAATCGTATGGCCGTGGCGCCACAGTGAATTTCGATGATTCGCCATGAAAATCTTACTGCCTCTCTCATTCTGTCATACATTGTCCAATCTTGACCGAAGTACACACATATGATAAGGCTTCACCCCTGAACATATTTCAATAGCCATATTTGACATCAGGGAGAGCCCCACCTAGTGGGAACAGGAAATGTCCTGTTTTATACTTTGATATACTGATTTTGTGGTGGGTGACGTGTGCAGCCTCATATTTCTCCAGGAAAGCCTTAAGGAGTTGGCAATACATTGAAATGTGTGCATCTTCAGGAAAGGGTGTGACCCCAGCAGCATGGCGAACACTGATGTCTCGCCATGAAGAAACAAATTAGTATAACTCAAAGAAATCCAGTCTGATCAGTACCAGACATTACAGGCATGATGACAGACCTGCCCTGAATAGATTGATATGCCCATTGTTAGGAATACACAGAGCACCACCTAGTGGGAACAGGAAATGTCATGTCTTATACTTTGATATACTGGTAGGGATGGGTATTGATAAAATTTTCAAGATTCCGATTCCATTTTCGATTCTGTTTAACGATTCGATTCTTTATCGATTCTCTTATCGATTCTTTATTTTTTAAAAAGGAGAACACTAAGGTCAATTAGCTTAGAACTTTGTTTTATATCTTCTCTTTGAACAAGATAGAAATTTAGGAGTAACATGGCCTTACAAACCCAACAGTGAGATCTTAAGAGATCCTTAAGAGATCCAGCCTATCGTTCTTCAATGGGGTGTCACGGGGTCCCCAGGAAAAAAAATTGTAAATGTAAAATAATAAAATAAATATTCTTCTGTAGCAATAACAAAGTGTAACATAAATTATTCTGTAGCAATTACACAAGAATATCCAGTAATTTCCCTGCCTACAATTAAACACATTCACTTACCGAAAATCGAGGGCATCTGCTGTGGCAAATGGGTGCAAGCCTTTTACCACAAACTTAGACACTGCTCGGTGACATTCGTATATACTGGCCTGAAAGGAGACGCTAACGGTAGACTGCAGCGAGAACTGCCAGCATCTGAGCCAACCAATTCGTCGACTCCTTCAAATGTGGCCGACAAATGCGTCCTTCATTTCCCCGAATTTGAAGGATGGGTCGGGTGTATCCTTCATGGCCCACCATATCCCAGAATTCATAGCGCGGCCCAGCCAAATTTCAGCTGCCAATAATGGCAGCCGCTACTAAGTTTTAAAATTACTCTTATTAATCTTTCTGGGTCACAAAATAAACTTCTAACATATTTTCAGGCGAGAAAGAAGCTGTGTAAATTTCAAATATCTGCTTGGTTTATCAAGACATTGCATATTTGCAAAAGTGCGCCGACGTTTTTAGAGACGTCTGTTAGCCACCCACTGGATAGCAAGCGGGGGGTTCAGTGGTCACTCGAGCCGGAGAGAGCAGCGGAATCGTGGCTTCGTCGTTTTCAGATCCCAGCTCTTTCGCTACTCAGGTTAAACATGATATATAAGTCACTCGGATAACTTAAAAATGTAATTGTTTGTCTTTTTTTCAGTGTTTTATTTGTTCCGGAGTAAATCGTTTTGGCTGAGATCAAAGTTATTAGATTATTAGATTAAATAAAATAAAATGTTATTAATCTATCTGGTGTGTGTGTGGGATTTTCACACAGCTGAATAAACATCAAACAGAAAACTGATTAAACAGAAGTGTCAGACGGTCGAGAATTTACGCCAGTGTCCTGTTATATTTTAGATAGCAACGAGCAGACGGCCGAGTTTATTAAACTCCACCGAGACAGCGGTGACGGAAATATGAAGGCTAGACCGTTCCGTTTCACAGCCTCACACTTCCGGCCTTCTCAGTCTTCGAAGGACCCAGCCCACGCAGTGTTGCCAACTCCTCAGTAAGGAAAATCGCTATTGGCTGTCCTAAAAGTTGCTAGAAGTTGCCAAATGATGTCATCGCCTAATTTGCATAATTGGTCATGCTAATGTAATTGTAACCTACGTTGTTGGAGAGAGAAATAACATCGTGGAAGACACATAAAGTGAGTAAAAAACATCCTAGTTAGAATTTATTTAGAACTACAAATTAAATTTCTTTTAGCAATTATTGTTTTTTAATGTCACAATTCCAACCCTGCTCCTTTATCCGGGCCTGGACCAGCAAAAGTGACCCGAAATTGGCACTCTGGTGGAGTTACTTTGTGTGTGAGTGTGTGTGTTTATAAGTAGTTTTAAACCTTGTGATCCACAAAACAGCATGACTGCGTTACAGTCAGTGCGGGAGCAGCGGCTTTGCTCATGCGCAATTCATTTGCAGTTGGGACGCACAGGTGTGAATGTCTCCTGCCCTGATAGCAGCTGGGGGAGGACTATACTCCGCCTGGGAGTGCTTTGGCACGGGCGAGGTGTCCAAGGCAGCACCGCTGCTTGTTGAGAGTAAGAGCGTGAAAAGAGCGTTTTCACGTCAAAAAGTCGTCATAAATAAGTCTCCAATAATAACAGAAAAAGTCACCAGATTTGTCGCTTTTTTAGAAAAAAAGTCGCTAAGGGGGTCTGAAAACTCGCTAAATATAGCGACAAAGTCGCTAAGTTGGCAACACTGAGCCCACGTAGACTGCGAAGGCCAGGTCCTCCGGAGGATGCAGCCGACGTTTTGGGACACAGCTTCTGTCTGTCTCTCTCATCATGGTCACCTAAATGCAGCGCACAGTAATGGCAGGTTTTGTAATAAGGCAGATCGCGCTAACATAATATGCACTGTTAGTTGATTATTTACCTGCCGAATTAACGGGAGAGGACATACAAACGTTACCGCTGCTGCTGGGTTGAGATTCATGAGTCCGGAGCAGAATTAAAAACACGACATTCATTTAAGGTCATCGCGTGTTTTGTGAGCAAATGCTTTTGCATATTCGTAGTGTTTCCTCCCTTAAATGAAATATCTACTATCTAACCGTTCTCATAAAGTATAACCAAACTTTTGAGCGTTTGAGCCACTTAGTAAATGACACTCCGCAATGTGGTGATGTCATTCGGGGCGACTAGAATTGATAAGGGAATCGTTTGCAAAAATGGCAAACAATTCCAAGGAATTGAAACAGTGGGAACCGGTTCTCAACAAGAACCGGGTTTCGATACCCATCCCTATATACTGGTTTTCACAGGTTCATCAGGTCCACCTCAAAAGCGGTGAATATTAACATCAGTCCCTCATGATGCTTCAGTGAGACAATTGTGAGTTTAAACTTAATGGCGCACCCTGGTGGCAAGGTGGTTCACCATGAAAGATGAAGTGGCATTTCAAATTCAAATTCAAATTTTATTTTATTTGTCACGTACACAGTCATACACAGTACGATATGTAGTGAAATGCTTGGACATTTGAGGGGCTTAGAAAGCTCAAGAACTCTTGAAATTTGGCCCACACCTCCAATGTGATGAAGACTTTCTTGTTATGTGATCAGCCATGTGAAGTCAGCCATTTTAAAATTAATGTGTAATTTTGGCGACATTTTCCCCTCTTTTCAGGCCTCGTACTTTGACAAACTCCTCCAAGGAATTTTAATCAGATCGAGATGATCTCCAGTGCAGGGAATCTAAAGACCTTTGTGATGTTAAATTGCGAAGCTTTTTACGTTTAGGGAAACGGGGTGGTCATGGCGGCACGTGGAGTTTCAATCACTCGCCAAAAAGCAGTAATCTGCTGTCACTCAAAAACACAATGTCCAATCTCTCCCAAATTTCGCAGGCATGAGTCAAGAGTCAAGCTCGGGAATATTTGATAAGCAATTTATCAGTAATAGTTAGAGCGCCACCCAGTGGGATGACTATAATTATCATTGAACGAAATGAAATTTTAGCTGGTGGTTCTACGCATGAATTCCATCAATGTGACATCAGATCGGAAATGCTTGGTGTAGGTGGTGGGCATGGCTCGATGCGCTGGGGTGTGAGGGCCCTCATAACGCTGCTTGCAGCTTTAATTTCAATGTTGCTTCTATATTTTATATATTTGTTGCTTATTATTATTATTATTATTATTATTATTATTATTATTATTATTGTTGTTGTTGTTGTTGTTAGTAGTAGTAGTAGTATTAAAGTTCAATATTAAAATTCATTGTATTCCATACTCCGTGTTATCTCATTTTTGTTTGTATTAGTGAAGGCTACAAATGATCTTCTTATGGCCTCTAGAAAGAGAGACCATATTTCTCTCATACTCCCTCTCTTCGTTGGCTTTCTGTTAAATCAAGAATTGTATTTAAAATCCTTCTCTTCACATACAAGATCTTACTTCTTGTTCCTAGAGTATTTAAAAGTAGAATGGGAGGCAGAGCATTCAGGTTTCAGGCCCCTATTCTGTGGAACCAGCTTCCAGTTTGGATTCAGGAGGTAGACACTTTCTCTACTTTTAAGATTAGGCTTAAAACTTTCCTTTTTGCCAAAGCATATTACCCATGATGCACTGACATGTTTAAATAACTATTTATATTTTTTCAAAATAAATCCTGTTTACTTATCTCCAAAATATAAGGGCAGCATTTGGAGCAAGAAGTCATCACCAATATTGAGTGAAACCTCAGAGGTTTAATTATATGATTAATATTCAAAAGTATTTTAATTAGTAATTAGTAGGCTGCTAATTTTCTGTTCGTACCTGAGTGTTTCCAATTGGCATTGTCTATCCTTCAGGCCAAAAGAAAGGAGAGTCACGCCTTGGTCTCCTGGATGATTGTAGCTCAGGTCCAATTCTCTCAGATGGGAAGGGTTTGAACTCAGAGCTGAGGCCAGAGCAGCACAGCCTTGTTCTGTGACTTGACAGCCTGATAGCCTGAAATTGAGTCAGTTATTTTTTTCTGAAGTTACAAACTTCCTTACAAATTTAGGTAACAGATATTTGAAAATGACACAAATAAGAAAATGAAAAAGATAGCAGATAGTACCTTTGTATACCACTGTACTCCACAAGTAAGTCCAGTTACATTATTAATAAATCAAATCAATCAAAGAAATGAAATAAAACTACATGAAAGTTGTCCAATTTGATGATAAAAATCATAAAGTAATATGTAATGTCACTTCATCATTTATAAATGAGGAAACTGTGGAGTCCTGACCCAAGAGTTTGAAGTACACAGTGATTACTCTCCAGTCCAGCAGATAAAAGTTGTACTCCTGAATCCTGCAGGTCATTGTTGCTCACATCCAGTTCTTTTAGATTTAAGGACTGTGTGCTGATAACTGTAGAAAGAGTTTCACAGCTTCTCCATGACAAGTTACAGCCAATCAGCCTGTTTATAAACAAACCATTAGACATGTTAAAATAACAATGATTTTTAAATTAGCACAAAAAGACAGACAGAATTGATGCAAATCAACATCAACTACAGATTGACACTTTTTCCCATAAGGCCAGTTAAGTCTGGATAGTTTTTTTTACCTTAATAAATTCAATTAGCATTTAAAAACCTGCAGATCTTTTTAGCTTTGTCTGATATAAAAATGTGTTTGATGATCTCAAATATTTAACTAATACTAAAAAACTAAACTAAAACTAAAACAATAGCCCACAAAACCAAAGAGAAATTAAGACATGTATGCAACACTGTATGTTGCAATCAAGAAGAAATTTGAATAGTAATTAAATTTACCAAGACTAAGAATAAAATATGCCGCGAAACATAGACGAGCATCAGCCAACACTAACATTCCTGACCTGAGAGTTTCCAGTTGACAATGTGGACCCTCCAGTATGGTAGAAAGCATCTTCACTCCTGAATCCTCCAGGTTGTTGTTGCTCAGGTCCAGCTCTCTCAGACAAGAGGACTGGGAGCTGAGCACTGGAGACAGAATTTTTACACTTTTCTCTGACAGGTTACAAGAACTCAACCTGCAAAATTAAACAACAACAGAGAAAACCATTGAAAACATATTTTAAAATCATCATATGAGTATCAATAGTAGCTAACCAATTACTTTTAATAGATATCACAGCACTTACAAAGCTTTGTTGGAGGCTTTAACCACAGGCAGTAGCTTCAGAAGAACCTCCTCTGAAGCTGAATATTTCTTCAGGTCAAAGACATCCAGATTTTCTGATGATAATAATATGAAGACTAGAGCTGACCACTGAGATGGAAATAGATCATTCGTGTAAAGATTTCCTGAACTCAATGACTTTTGGATGTCCTCCAATAGAGAATGATCATTCACTTCATTCAAACAGTGAAACAAATTGATGCTTTTCTCAGAAGGGAGACCATCATCAAGCCTTTCCTTGATGTACTGGACTGTTTCCTGTGAGCTACTTCCTGTCTTTCTCAGTAGGCCTTGTAAGAGAATCTGATTGGTCTCCAGTGAAAGACCGAGAAGGAAACGGAGGAACAAGTCCAGGTGTCCATTTGGGCTCTGTAAGGCCTTGTCCACGGCCCTCTGGTGGAGATTAGATTTACTTCTTGAAAGTCTAGAAATCCAGGATGATTGTTGGAGTTCGTCCAGCAGATTGAGTCCAGAGCTGAAAAAGGTCATATGGACATACAGAGCAGCCAGAAACTCCTGAACACTCAGGTGGATAAAAGAAAACACTTTGTCCTGGCGCAACACTCTCTCCTCTTTAAATATCTCTGTAAAAAGTCCTGCATATACTGAGGCACTTGTGACATTGATGCCACAGTCTTTCAAGTCTGATTCATAAAAGATCAGGTTGGCTTTCTGTAGCTGCTCAAAAGCCAGTTTTCCCAAAGACAGAATCATCTCCTTGCTTGCTTGATTCCACTGTGGATCAGCATCAGTTCCTCCCTGATGCTTGACCTTCTTAACTTTGGCTTGAGATATCAAAAGGTGGATGTACATCTCAGTCAGGGTCTTGGGCAGCTCATCTTTATCTTTAGTTTTCAACATATCCTCCAGAACTGTAGCAGTGATGCAGCAGAAGACTGGAATGTGGCACATGATGTTTAAGCTCTGTGAAGTTTTGATATGAGAGATCATTCTGCCAATAAGCTTCTCATCTCTGAATTTCTTTCTGAAGTAGTCTAGTTTTTGAGCATCAGTGAACCCCATAACTTCTGTCACAATGTTTACATACTCAGAAGGGATCTGATTGGCTGCTGCAGGCCGTGTGGTTATCCAAAGGCGAGCAGAGGGAAGCAGATCCCCCCGGATGAGATTTGTCAGCAGCACACTGACTGAGGTGGATTCTGTAGCATCAGTCAGGATCGCAGTTTTGTGGAAGTCCAGAGGAAACCGACACTCATCCAGACCATCAAAGATGAACACAACCTTAAACCCTTCAAAGCTGCAGATTCCTGCTTCTTTGTTTTTAGTAAAAAAATGATTCACAAGTTCCACCAAACTGAACTTTTTGTCTTCCAGTACATTCACCTCTCTGAAAGTGAATAGAAATGTTAAGTGGATGTCCTGGTTGGCTTTGTCTTTAGCCCAGTCCAGAGTGAACTTCTGTGTTGAGACTGTTTTCCCAATGCCAGCCACTCCCTTTGTCAGCACTGTTCTGATTGGTTTGTCTTTAATGGGTGAAGCTTTGAAGATGTCTTCACATCGAAGTCTTGTTTCTGGTCTGTCTGGTTTCCTGTGTGCTTTTTCAATTAGTCTGATCTCATGTTCCTTGTTGACCTCTTGGCTGTTTTCTATTTTGAAGCAGACCTCTGTGTAGGTCTCATTTTGAAGCTTAGATTTACCTCCTTTTTTAAGTTTTTCAGCTGATTCCTGAAACTTTTTCATCAGGTTGGATTTGAGGTTTTTCTGGAACTCAGCAAAACCCTCTAAATAAACAGTGAAATGGTAAGAGTAGATGTGAGTAAATGTCAGTTGTGAAAAAATAGGGTACATTTATGTAATTGTGATAGTTGTCAATGGAAAATAAGCAGAATATGGTTAGGATGGCAAGGACAGGTTCTTAGCAAAAAACAGTAATTACCCAAATTTCTGTAGCGGTTTTGTTCATCAACATTAAAATATAACTGTCATGTCCATGAGTGTGGTAAGTACATTTCATATCAAAGCAATTAATAGGTCCTATTCTTTATTATTCTTTTCACCTCGCAAACCCACTATTGCCATTTCTTGCTATCGTCTCAGATCTACCATCTGTGTATTAAGGTAAAGAACAGCATCTGAAATTATCAAGTCCATCTCTATGCCATGGTTCATAACAAACTGAAAATGTAATAAGATACATTTTCTGTCTGAATTATGGTCATCACAAAGTGCACCTCATACCAGGAATCATTCTCATATGAGTGTTAATCATTCAATGACTTACCTGCTTCAGGTTCTGCATTTGGGTCAATTAAAATCTGCACAAGGTCATTCCTATCTAGCTTCCTCAAAACCTTTTTGGTGACCTCAAGCACGTTTTCACAGTATGTTTGCAGCATCTGATCCACTGTGTCTGGCCTGTCTGCCTTATCTAGTCTGCTCTTTGGGATTATTGGGAAGCGTTCCAGGACGTCAGACTTTTGCAGGTACCACTTGAACTCTTTTAACTCGTTGTCTCCCAGATCTTTCAGTGCTCTCAGGAGCAGCTCTTCACGTGTTGAATTTGACATCATGTTTCCCTGCCAAAATCAAAGAAAATCGCACGTCTGAAACAGTTCTATAATTGCTGGGGTGATTCACTGCAGCTGTAATTATTCTTTTTTATATTACTACTTTGTTCAAACTAAAGGTAAGTAGCATCAGGACTCCATAAAAATTACAAAATAAAAGTTGACTATAAACTTGTTGTCCCTTTTAAAGGGGACAAGAAAAGGAAACTCTCAGGTGTCACAAGGAAGGACCAGCAGAAATACTTCAGAAACAAATGTGTGATGCCAAACCTGCAGATATCTAAAGAAGGAGAGTGAGGGTTTAGCACAGATTCTTTCCACCATGAATCAGAAATCCTAACTTGGACTTGCTATGTTGTCAAATATTAGAAGAAACCCTCTGTCAATCCACTGGAAATTCAATCTCCCAGGAATACAGTGGAATTCCAAATCTTCTGAAGGTTTTACCCAAAAGGGAATCAGAGGAAATTCTTGGAAGTTGTAAGCCAGCAGGAAAACATTGAAAATCCAAATCTTCTTGAATCTACGATCTAACATGGCAAAAATGAGAACAGAAAAAGCCAAAAAATGGTGATTTTTTGGCAGGTTCAAGGTGATTTGCAGGTTCAAAGTTTGGGCAGCAGTTGATCCCACGGGTGATATCAGATCATCACATTAAATCACCCGATTTCCAGCTGCACCTTATCATCCTCTATCTGTCTGACGTTTCCATGTACATGGTTTAAAGAAAAGTTTCAAACGTTTCAACTTTAAATTTTCACTTCAATACATGTTCTTCTTTTCTATGTTGTACTTAACATAGAAATGTTAATAATTTCATCACAAAAGAGATTATGTTCAAATGAATGTTCATTTGAAAATGAGCTAATGATAGTATTGATGAATGATGAAGTTAAATTGGATAAACTGAATGAAACATAGTATAGTATATTCATATGTAATTGAATTGTAATATCAGAATCAGAATTAATAAAGTATTCTGATTCTGAATATACTTCATGTTTCATTCAGTTTATCCAAATTGACGTCATTAATCAACTTTATCATTAGCTCATTTTCAAATGAACATTCATTTGAACATAATCTCTTTTTAACTCAAATACAGAGGAATACTTCTCCCTCTGTGTTTGTCAATCACATTATAGCCAAAGCAGTTTCTTTTAATAAATCGTGCATTTCATAGTCAGACATTCTTTTTAGTAGTCCAACCTAGAAGTAATAAATGCATGAACTAGTTTTTCAGTGTCACTGAGACAGGATATTTCTAATTTTAGAGATATTGCATAAATGGAAGAAAGCAGTCCTACATATTTGTTTAATATGTGCATTGAAGGACATATCCTGGTCAAAAATGACTCCAAGTTTCCTCACAGTGCTACTGGAGGCTAAGGTAATGCCATCCAGAGTAAAAATCTGGTTAGATACCATATATCTAAGATTTTCAGGACCTAGTGCAATAACCTCGTTTTATCTTAATTTAGAAGTAGAAAGTTAGAGGCCACCCAGGTCTTTATGTCTTTAAGACACTGATGCAGTTTAACTAATTGGTGTGAGTTATCTGGCTTCATGGATAGATCAAGTTGGGTGTCATCTGCATAGCAGTGAAAATGTATGCTATGCATGTATAGTGTAAACAGAATGGATCCTAGCACTCAACCCTGTTGAACTCCATAATTAACCTTAGTGTGTGAAGAGGACTCTCCATTTACATGATCAAATTGGAGTCTATTAGATAGATATGATACAAACTACTGCAGCGTAGTACCTGTAATACCTACAGCATGCTCTACGCGCTCTAATAGCAGTCAACAGTATTGATTATATGGCCAACCATATTGAACGCTGCACTGAGGTCTACCAGGATAAGCACAGAGATGATTCCACTGTCAGAGGCCATAAAAACATCCTTTAGAATCTTCACTAAAGCAGTTTCTGTACTGTGATGGGCTCTGAAATCTGACTGAAACTATTTCAAGAATTTTTGAGATGAAAGGAAGGCTAGAGACTGGCCTTTAATTAGCTAAGACCACTGGGTCTAGAGATGGCTTTTTAAGTAATGGTTTAACTACTGCCAGCGTGGTACATAGCCGATTATTAGACATAGATTGATCATATTTAAGACTGAAGCATTAATCAATGGTAGGACTTCTTTGAGCAGTCTTATAGGAATGGGGTCTAAAAGACACGTTGATGGTTTGGAGGAAGTAATTACTGAAGTTAACTCAGAAAGATCAATTGGAGAAAAGGAATATCAGTGGTACTGAAAGTAGCTATAGATAATGTTATGTCTGTGAAATGATTATGAGTAATTTTCTTTTCACTCTGACTTTTTGTCAGGCTGGCTACAGTGCTGAAGAGAAACCTAGGCTGGATCTTATTTTCTTCAATCAGCGATGAATAGTAAGATGTTCTAGCAAAAAAGTGCCCCATAAAGGAGGAATTTTTTACCGAGCAACAAACTATTTCCTGTTAGGGGCTTTGTCTGTGACCCAGCGTTTTAAGTTTATTTTGTATTTTTTGATTCCTTTGGTTATATTGGAAATATGTTAAGTTCTTGTGTGGTTATTATTAGTTAGGATTTAGTTGAGTTTAGTCTAGTTTATGTTTCTCCTATGTTTCGGTGTTTGAGTCTTTTCCTATGTGTCATGTGTTCTCTCCTCGTCTATGTAGGTTCCTCTTGTGTCTCTCTCCTCTGTGTCCCTCTCCCTCTCTCGCTGCCTCTCTTTGTCTCTTGTCTCAAACTTCTGTGTTCCAGTTCATGTCTCTCCAGGTTTTCTGTTTTATTTTGAAAGTCTTGTTTCTATGTTTAATGTGCTTAGTTTTACTTTTCCCTTTGGTGTCATGATTATTTGTGTCAGCTGTGTCTCCGCAGGTATTTCCACTTCCCTCATTACCCTCCTGTGTATTTAGGTCCTCTGTCTCCCTCTGTTTGTTGTTGGTGCTTCTGTTTTCCTCCGTCCATGTCAGGTCAGATTCTGGGTACCTCATAATTCTGTTCAAGTTATATCAAGATTCATGTTCACAGTTTTTTTTGTCAGAGTTACTCTTGTACTCCTGCTCAGAATCATGCTAATGTGTTGTTTTTCATAGTTTACACAGTCTAGCTTTTCCCAGTTTAGGTTTTTTGTTTTGTCCGCGTCCATTTTGCCCTTTTTTATATTCATGTTTTTCGGCCAAGTAAACAGCCCATTTTTTGTTAAGATTCCGTTTCATGTCTACAATTGGGTCCACTCCACAAACACACCGGATGCTCAGACATAATATTTCCAGACTGAAGGATGATCTTTTAAATTGTACATTTGAGAATTATACCAGGAAGTCAAGTACTTCTGATTTGAGTCATACGTAGTGAGGAGGCTAAATTATTAACAAGATAAACAGCCTCTGTTGGAGTAGCGTTCAGGTAGCTGCTCTGCTCTATATTGGTACAGGGCATAGAAGATGCTAACAGTGGGTGCATTATATTCTTAAACTTAGTTACAGCACTTTCAGAAA